CGCGGGAAGATTACGCGCCAGTGTCCGCGCAGTCGACCCTATTTTCTCTTCGTCGCCCACATGGGGGCGGAGAGGGGGCATAGGGCTGGTGAATTTTACAACGCCACGGTGCCACGGGGCCCATTAAGCTGGGCGGCGCTGCGAGGGCAACAGTCTGTGAGCGGGCGAGGCGGCAACTCTCGGTACATCGGGGCGAGCTTAGCCAACCCCGCATAATCACAAGGCGCGTGAACGTTGCATCGCCATCCCTCCCTCCCTCCACCCCCCACCCACCACAGGGCTAAGCAGGGGGAGATCATGAGAGGGGCTCGGAGGAGGTTGGAGGGCGATGGGGAAGGGTGGCGGGTTCGGAGCGGGGTCGGTCGACGGAGGAAGCAGACCACCCCACCGTCCGCCCTCATCCTCCGCACCCCGACCTTCATCATGTACCTATGGTCCACCCCCTACTCCTCCCACAGACCACATCCTCCCCCTCCTCCTCTCCTTCTCGCCCTCCAGCTTGCCTCATCCTAAGTCTCCTCCTCCTCCTCCTCCTCCTCCTCCTCCTCCTCCACGTCCTCATCCACGCCCGCCCGTCCCTTTCCCCCCTCATCCTCACCCTCCGCATCCTCGCCCTGATCCTTCTCATCATTTCCCTTCTTCCTCCTCCCCATCCCTCCACAATTGCAATAGCAGAGGCTGCACGCGGGCCCGTCCCTGCTCAGCGGCGCGGCGGAGGTCGCACCGACCGTCGTCATCATGCTCATCGTGCTGTCCACGATCTCAGGCGCCTGGCAGGCGCGGCAAGGGAGCGGCGGGCGCGTCTGGGTGAGACGCCGTGGCCGCGTGGGTCGGCGCGGCCGTCGCCGTCTTCGTCGCCGCCCCCACGGTCGTCGTAGTGGTCGTAGTGGTCGTCGGCGTCGTCGTCGCAATCGTCGTCGCAGTCGTCGTCTTGGTCGCCGTAGTAGCTGTCGCCATCCTCGTCGCCACCTCTTTCGGCGTCGTCACAGTCGCCACACGTCGTCGCCGCTCGCCGTCGTTATCGCAGTTGTCGTTCTCGTCGAGGGCGAGGAAGATGAGGGGGTGGAGGAGGCTTGGCCGCGCCGCGGCCGTGCGGGCGCGCCCCGCCCGCGACGCCGCCGAAGGGCGGGCCCACCCCTGGCGGCTGGGCCTCGAGAGGCCCCAGGAGGAGGGCCGAGGGCCGATGAGGGAGGTGACCCATCATTCGGGGCCCCATACGCACATGCCTGCTCCTTTTTAGGGGCGAGCCTCCGAATATCCGAGGATAACGGCTTGCTGGCACGAGTTAGGGCGACGATATCTATACATATCCACCGCCCCTCGCCAGGCCCATCCTGCGCCCAGGAGCGGCGTATGCAATGCGCCCTCCTGGCGAAGCCAGGGAAGCATGCACACTCCTGGTGTCAGGAAGGGCCTGGCGGAGCGGTGGATATGTATAGATCTCGTCGCCCCACGAGTGGGGCCGTTGCGAAAGCTACCTGGTCAGGCAGCGGGCGCGTCACTCACCAGGGGGCCCAGACTCGTCAAGCGCGACCCACTCCTCGTCGATCTTGTAAGTAATGGAGAACTTCGCCTTGACGCGCCGCATAGGGGCGACCGACGCGCCGCGGGCATCCAGAACACCGAACACGGCGCTCGCGCTGGGGCCCCTGCTGATGCTCTCGCGCGTGTCGAACGAGTAGGTGAGCTCCTTCTTGCGCGTAATGATCGGCACAGCTGGCACCTCAATCGCCTCCGACTGGGTCAGCACGTGGGCTGGTGGTTCTGCAGCTGCTGCTGCGGGTTCTTCCTCTGCTGGGCCGAGTTCTGATGTGGCTGGACTGTCATCGGCGAGATCCACCACACCGCCCGTCTCCGTAGGCGGATCCGCAGTCCCCGCCGTCCCCGCGGTATCCTCCGTCAGCGCAGCGGCCGAGAGATCCGTTGGCTGCGAGCTCTCGCTCATCGCCATGGCGGCGTTGGCCGCGGTGCTTAAGAAAGGGGCATTTATCTACCTCCACCGCCCCCTCCTCGTCCCCCCCCTCCCTCCCTCCTGGGGTGGTAGATGAATTTCCCCTCCCCATGGGGACGGAAATTTACCTACCACGCCCCCCCCCCCCCCTCGTCCCTCCCTCCCTCCTGACACCCGCGGTGTGGTAGATGAATTCCCATTCCTCAGTGTTGGCCACTGCGCAAGGTCGGACTGGCTGCACTCGTTGCGCCTGGGCGCGGCCTCGAACGCTTGAGCCGAAACAGGTGCGGCCCCGCCCCCTCCGACACGAGTCCCCGATGGGAGAGGCATATCACGGGTGGGTTCCTATCGTGTTTGCCAGGCCGCGGGCGGTGAGGATGGCTGTTGTTGCGGGCGACGCAGCGCCCGCCTTCTCCCAGCAAGGGCCCCAAGGGGGCCAAGGTGACCGATTAAGATGGGCAGCGTACAGTCAAACTCGATAAGGATGCAAGGGCCTTGGAAAGCCATATCGGCACTTCTCGGCGGTGGTGGGTGTTGTGTCGAATGATACACGGTCAGGATGCATGGGCACCCTTAGAAAATTGCAAACACTTAACTCTAGGTTGTGGCTGCGTGCTGCCCGCCCCGCCCCCACCCCCTGCCCCGCCCACCACCGCGCAGTCAACCCGCGGAGTAAGGCTGAACGATAAGGACGCAAGGGCCTTGGAAAGCCACGTTGACGTTTTTTCGAGCGGAGCGGCCAGCGAAAGTTGCCAGGGATGGACCGAAGGGGCCTCGATGCAAGGGTAACCTAAGGAAAAAACACCATCCTTACACCGCGGGTTGACTGCAATGCAGAGAACGAGGAAATCCGTGAGGAACGGACTTCGGCATAGATGCCGAAATCCGCTCCCCTGCATCGGGTCGAAATCATGGACTTGCCCCGCCGCCCTCCGCATACCCCCTCCCCCTCCCTCTCAGTCGCCCCGCCCGCGCGAGGGACTTCCCCCTGGCCGTCGGCTTCCACGCGGTGGCGCGGCCGCGGCAGGCAGGAGCCCGATTGTTTGGAGACATGCCGAGAGAGACGGGGTCGAATGGTGGCGGGGAGGCCCATGGGGGAGGGGGCAAGGCACGCGATGAGTGGAGGGATGTGAATCGAGGCAGCGGCGGCGTAAGGGAGGTGATGCGTGGAGGGAGGTGATGAGTGGAGGGGGGTGAGGAGTGGAGGGAGGTGATGAGTGGTGATTGTAGAGGTGATGAATGGAGGGCGTGGAGTCCCCCAAGAGCGCCGAGTCGATGCGCAGAGGAAATAATCCGCGGATGGGGGGGGGGGGAATAGAAACGGGAAGTGCCGATCGTTTGCTGCAGGGGCAATGGAGGCGGGCATGGTGGACGGGGAGGGCGCCCTGAGCCGCTCGGACATGGCGAAAATTGTTTACGCTTCGCGAATCCCCACCAGCCCATCCTAAAACAGCCAATCTAGCGAAGTGCAGTAAGTTTCGAGAGCTGGGAGCGTCTTGTAGGCCTCTTGGGGCCATCATGGGGCCCTCTTGAGGACATGTTGGAGGCCTCTGGGACTCTGTTGGGCCTCTCTTCGGGCCCTCTTGGGGCGCTCTTGGGGCTCCCTTGGGCGCTCTTGGGGCCGTCTTGGAGCCCTCGGGGGCCCCTCTTGGGCCTCTCCTGGGCCATCTTGGAGGCCATCGAGCAACAGAGACGGGAGCACTTATTTCAATCGCCCCCTCGGGGCCCGACAACTCGCCTCTTGGGCCCCTCTTGGGGCCTTCTTGGGGCGCTCTTTGGGCGCTCTTGGGGCCGTCTTGGGCCGCTCTTGGGCCTCCCTTGGGGCCGTCTTGGGCCATCTTGGAGCCATCTTGAGGCTTCAAGAGCCCATCGGAAGCGAAAAGACGAGAATGCAAACAACATTGGGTGTTCCAGTTGTTGAAGGATTTTGGCCTCTCCAGGGCTTCCTTGGGAGGCTCCTTGGCCTCTTGAAGCCGTCTTGAGGCGGTCTTGGCGCCTCTTGGAAGCATGTCGTTAGCTATCTTGAGCCATGTTGGGCTATATTGAGCGATCTTGGAGGCCATCTTGGGCTCTCTGATGCCGTCTTGGGGCCATCTAGGGCCATCTTGGGCGCTCTGACCGCTCGCGACCCCCCCCCCCCCTCCAGGTCCAGGGGAGGGGGTAGGGGGAGGGGTAAACCCCTCCCCGAAGGGGAAGAAGGGGGTTGGAAGAAGGGAAGATGGGCTCGCTAAACCACTCACGCCCGAAAGGGCTGGTGGGACTTCATCGCTGCCGCAAGAGAGGGCAACGTTGTGGACCGCGATGGCGACAGCGGGATGCACCGAGATGGGGGGGTGGAGGGAGGGAGGGGGGGAGGGGGGGAGGGGGTGATAAGTTTGTACCCGACTGTGAGCTTGTCCCGTCGTCGTCGTGATCATGCCTCGAGTGCCTTTCGGGCGCAACGACGCCCGCGCAAGCGGGGGGGGGGGGGCGCGCGGCGAGATACCTCGAGATACCCTGCGAGATACCCTGTGATAGACCATGCGAGATACCCGCGGGATACCCTGCGAGATACCTCGGGAGGCGCACCGCGAGATACGCGAGATACCCGAGACATCCATGCGAGATACCCTCGAGATACCCTGCGAGATACCCTGCGAGATACCAGGCGAGATACCTCGAGATACCCTGCGAGATACCCTGCGATAGACCATGCGAGATACTCTCGGGATACCTTGATGATGCAATGGTTATCAGTTATGCGTGTTTGGAATGTGAGACCGATGCGATGGTGGCGATGGCGTTGGTGACGAACGTCGCAGTTGTATGATGCATGGCTGCATGTGTTTCTCGGCTGTCTAGCTTCCTTGCGGACCGCAAGGGTCGGGCGCGAGCGCCCTAGGTTACTTGTATCGGCTACGCTGGGTGCGAGCACCGCCGCCGTAATCTAGAGGCACCGTGCACTGAACAACAGTAGCGTGCCTCCGAAAGCTCGTGCCTCCGAAAGATAGAGGCCCCCAAATCGCGATGCACCGTGCACTGGGCAACCGTGCCTGCCCGCAGCCTAAGCTCAAGCCATGCCCCCGCGCGCCCTCGCCTTCGCCTTGCCCTTGGCCTTTGCCTTGCTCTTACCCTTGCCCTTGCCCTTGCCCCTGCCCTTGGGGCGGCCCGCCTCCGCGGCGGCCCTCTTCGGTGAGATCTTGACCCTCTTGCCAGGCGACATGTCAGCGCCACCGCCCTCGTTCGCAGATGCCGCGCCCTGGCTGCCCTCGACCTTAGCCGACCGATCGAGCTCGAGGGTCGAGGCCGAGAGACTGCCATGAGAGCGGGCGGATCCAGACCCACACTCACTGCCCCCATCCGAGCCGCCGTCGGCCACCACCCCGTCATTTCTGACGTCGGACCACATCCAACCATCAAACTCATCATCGGAAACGGATTCGGTGGCCTCGTGAGCCATCGGCGGCTCGCGGCACTTTAGGCCCCTCGCATCGGCCGCTCCCTCTGTGCCAGCCTCATCGAGCGCCTGGGAGACCAAGACTTCCTGCGCCACGTCCTCCAGTGCGCCTGCAGCGCTGGCCCCCCTCCCCCATCCTCCATCCTCCTCCTCATCATGTTAGCTGTCCAAGATGTCCACATGTGGACTTATTGACCACGCCTCCTCCTCCTCCTCCTCCTCCTCCTCCTCATCCTCCTGTTACCTGTATCCTCCTCCTCCTCCTTGCCCAGTTCTCATCCCCAAAACACCTCCTCCTTTTCCTCCCCATCATCCTCCTCCGCCTCCACGTCCTCCCCCCGAGCCTTCAATCTTGGTGATGATGTCGATGTGCGCGTTGAGCATGGCATTGCCGCGTTCGATCTTCGCCTCGAGGATCTCCTTCGTCGTGCCATCGCACGCGCGAAGGTTCTTCAGCTCAGCCAGGTAGGTCTCTAACTTCTTGTTGGAAGCGTCGGCGACCTCGAGTGGGCGAGGCCCCACGTAGCCCTGAGCCTGAGGGCTATGCGCCAGCGCGAGGGTCTCGGCCGCCTGCATGATGTGCTCGGTCAGGCGGCCCTCCATCTGTCGCACTTGTTCAGGATGCCCTTCGGGAGCGCGGGGCCCGCGGTCGGCTCCTTCAGCCTCTTCATCGGAGGCACTGCCAAGGCCTTGGGCCGCTTGAGCTTCTTCTCCCCGCTGATGGTCCTCGCCCTGATGTTCTCGTTCAGCAGCCGCTTATTCTGCTCGAAGCGGTACGTGGGGATGTACACGTACTCGATATCCGCCCACTCGCACTTCTTCCTGGGCGCCCGCTCCAACAGGCGATCGAACGCCTCGGGGTTGTTCTTGAACTGGGCCAACTGACGGGCCTCGCCGATCTCCACGAAGTCGCCGCTTTCTTTGAAATTGGCCTCGTGCTGCTCAGTGAGCTTCGCCTCCATGGTCTCGGCCATGTGCTGCGCGAGGTCGGCGCCGTACTTGTTGGCGGCGTTCGCGTAGAACGCAGCGCGAGCGGCTCCCTCGATCTCCCCGAAAGCCTCGAAGTCCGAGTTGCCAGCGCGGAGCGACTGCACGCGCTTCTTGAGGCTGTTGCACTTCTTGTGGCAAACCACGCGCGCGACGCTCTCCGAGCCCTCCTTGATCACCATCAGCTCCGACTCATTGCCGATGCTCTGGCAGCGCAAGAAGCACGCCCCGTAGTCCTCACCAGCCATCGGGGCCGCGGAGGGTTCGACTGCCACCAAGGCGTCCTGAGCAGCGGTGAAGCCAGCGGCTGTGGAGGCCATCGCTCGGGTCGACCGAGGATAGCCCGCGGCGCGGGCAGGGGGCCGCGACAGCAGGCGCACTCAATGCTTGAGATGACAGCAGCCATGAACTCCATGAATGAAAGTGGATGGCAGATGCCATGGATTAAAGGGGGCGGTTATGCTCCTCCTCCTCCCCCTCCCCCTCTTCCTCCTCCCCCGCATTCTCCCCGCGCCCCCATCCCCCTAGGGGCGCGCCCGAAGGGGGGCCCCCCGCGTCTGCCAACGGGGACGGCTGAGATTGCCGCGCGCCGCGCCCCCGTCGGGCACGCCCTCCGAACTCCGGGTTTTCGGGGCCCTGAGGGAGGGGCGAACGAGCCCAACCTCCGGAGATGGGGCCCCAAGGGTTTCGGGCCGAATGCGCCCGAGCTCCGGGTTTTCGGCATGCGTCGGGGGAGCGCGGGGAAGCTCGGACGAGAATGCCCTGGATATACCTGGAGATATATTGGAAATACCTGGGGACACCTTGAGATACCTTGAGATACCCTGTAGATACCTTGAGATGCCCCGGGGATACCTGGAGATATATTGGAGATACCTGGAGATACACCCTGGAGATAGGGAGGAGCACGGAGGAGCACGGAGGAGGGGATGAGGCGGATGGGGGAGGAGGCGGATCCGAAAGAGGAGGATGAGGAGAAGGGGGAAGAAGGGAAGATGAGGAGGAGAGGGGACAAAGATGGAAGGGATGAGGATCGGGTGGCCAAAAGCACGATAAACTAAACCTTTTGGTGTCGATGTGGGGCCCAGGGGGGCCAAACAGTGCAAAAAACAAGACGTCCAGCCACAGGATTGTGGCCAACTTGTTTATGTGATTTTTCTTTCCCATTTTTTTGGCCCCCCTAGAGGAGGAGGAGGTGGTCGTGATGGGGGCCGCTGTGACCGAAAGAGCTACAGTCAACCCGCGGAGTAAGGATGAACGATAAGGATGCAAGGGCCTTGGCCAGCGAAAATTGCCAGGGATGGCCAGCGAAATTTGCCAGGGATGGGCCGAAGGGGCAAGGATGCAAGGGTAACCTAGGACAAGTTGCTCATCCGTACTCCGCGGGTTGACTGTACTCCCGACTGAGGGGCGTCGACGACGACGAGGGAGGTAACGCGACGACGGCGCAGCGGGGCGGGCGCGCGGCACCGGAGGATTGGGCCGTGCTCGACTTCGTCTCGTCCGCCTCCTCCGCAGCCTGCAGCGGCAAGCGGGGGGGGGGGGCTCCGCGCGCGCGGGAGGGCGACGGTGCCGCCGTCGCCGACGACGACGCCTTCGCGACGACGACGACGACGGCGACGACGGCGGCGGCGGTGGCGACGACGACGACGACGACGCCAACTCCTCCTCCTCCTCCCACGGGGCGCCCTTCTTTCAAGCGGGCGCTTCTGGCTGTGAAAAAAAGCTTGTGCGGATTTATGAGGAGGGAACGTGAGACGGGGGGGTGCATTGCGCCATCGTTGATGGATCCTGAGTTCACTCTGGTCCTCCTCCCCCCCCCCCCCCCCCCCCCCCTCATCCCACCCCCCCCCCCCCCTCCCCCTCCCACGAGACCAGCGCGGCAGCGGCGCGGCCGACGACGACGCGCGCAGCGGCGCGGCCGACGACGACGGCGGCGGGCCTGGGCAGGTACATCAGCGGCGGCACCGTCGGCAGCATCATCCTCGAGATGATGAGCTCCTGCGCAGGCGGCGGGGCCGTGCTGCTCCTCCTCCACACTCCCTCTCGACTCCCCGCACAGAGCAAATTGTTTACGCTTCGCGAATCCCCGCCAGCCCATCCTAAAACAGCCACTCTAGCGAAGTGCAGTAAGTATCGAGAGCTGGGAGCGTGTTGTAGGCCTCTTGGGGCCATCATAGGGCCCTCTTGAGGACATGTTGGAGGCCTCTTGGCCCCTCACGCGCCCCTCTTCGGGCCCATGGGGCGCTCCTGGGGCTCTCTTGGGCGCTCTTGGGGCTGTCTTGGGGCCCTCTGGAGGCCCTCTTGGGCCTCTCTTGGGCCATCTTGGAGGCCATCGATGAAAACATAAGGCGGTGCTTATTTCCCCCCACCCCCCTTCCTCGGTGCCTGAAAAATCGCCGATTGGGGCCCTCTTGGGGCCTTCTTGGGGCGCTCTCGGGCGCTCTTGGGGCCGTCTTGGGCCGCTCGTGTGCCTCTCTTGGGGCCGCCTTGGGCCATCTTGGAGCCATCTTGATGCTTCAAGAGCCCATCGGAAGCGAAAAGGCGAGAAGGCAAAACACATTGGTTGGTCCAAGGTTTTTGAATCTGTTTGGCCTCTCCAGGACTTCCTTGGGAGGCTCCTTGGCCTCTTGAAGCCGTCTTGAGGCGGTCTTGGCGCCTCTTGGAAGCATGTCGTTAGCTATCTTGGACCATGTTGGGCTATCTTGAGCGATCTTGGAGGCAATCTTGGGCTCTCTGAGGCCGTCTTGGGGCCATCTTGGGTCAAAAAGGACGCTCTGGCACCTCGCGACGGCCCCCTCCAGGTCCAGGGGAGGGGGTAGGGGGGGGTAAACCCCTCCCCAAAGGGGAAGAAGGGGGTGGTGGGATTTTCAGAAGGACTTCTGTTCTAGAGATTGCTTGAATGGGAAGTGTGAGAGAGAGAGAGAGGGAGAGAGAGAGATCCCTCTCGACACCCTCGTCATCCTCCATGTCCCTATCATCCCCGTCCCTCCTCTTCCTCCTCGCCCACCTCGCCCCCCCGCCTCCCTCCACCTCCCCTTATCCACCCTCCTCTTTTCCAATGGCTCTCTCATCACCCTACCATTCCAGGAACGAAAGGGTTGACCCCGCCCCCATCCCCCCGCCCGCGGCAGGGCTCCTTCGCGCAGGATGGTCACGGGCACGAGGGGGTCCCAGCGGTCGGTCATTTCCAAGTTCCCACCGTCGAAGTAGCTCTCCCACTCGAGGCCCGTGCCCAAGAAGGTGTCTGGCATTGGGACCGACCTGGGGGCAACCTTGGACACCTGAAAGTCGCGGACCTGCCTGCCACCAGCGGGCCCGTTTGAACTCACGAACTGGAGGCACTCATTGTACCCATACTGCAAGAGACTCGATCGGCCCGTGACCACAATCTCGCGCCCGCCCCCTCGGCCGCGATCTCTGACGCAAGCTTTGCACCAAGTCTGCCGCCAGATCCATTGCGCCTGCGCTGCCGTGATCGTCCCTACTGGGAGCGGGTGTCGCGTCACGGCGATCGGGCCGAACACGGGGGGGCCGAAACAGGATTCCCACCTCTCCATCCTCACCTGTTGGCGCGGCCTCGAGCACAATAGAGCCTACGGTAGGGAGCGGCAGTCACGCAACACCGACAGTTGAGCGGAAGAATGCCTTACACTTGGCACAATCAACCCGCGGAGTAAGAACGAACTATAAGGATGCAAGGGCCTTGGAAAGCCACATTGACGTTTTTTTCGGGCGGAGCGGCCAGCGAACGTTGCGCGGACGGGCCGAATGGGCAAGGATGCAAGGGTCACCTAGGAAAAAATGCGCATCCTTACTCCGCGGGTTGACTGTATTCGAATCTGGGTATTTGTGTCGAGTGGCTGCCATGCGCTACTCATGCTGTATTGTCTAACGTTCTACATCATGCATATCACATCCCCCGCGCGCGTGCGTTCTGAGTGTTGCAGCGCGTGGCAACCCCGAACAGATCCCACGGGCCAGAAGTATGTGGATGCGTATATCATGTTGGACCATTGCGGATGTGGAACGGGGGGGGGGATGAGAGGGGATGGGAGGATATGTAAGGGAGGAGAGGGGAGGGGGGATATGTGAGGGAGAAGAGGGGATGAGAGAGGAGGGATGATATGTGAGGGGGCCCCCCGCCCCTCTCGCCGACGCCGCTGCCGGGCGGCTGGCGGCGAGGGCGGCCGACAGCGAGAGTGGCAGCCATCTGCAGAGAAACAAATCGGCGCGCGATCTCTGGTGACGAGCCACAGTCAACCCGCGAAATAAGGATGAACGATAAGGAAGCAAGGGCCTTGGAAAGCCATATTGACGTTTTTTTTCGAGCGGAGCGGCCAGCGAAAGTTGCCAGGGATGGGCCGAAGGGGCAAGGATGCAAGGGTAACCCAGGAAAAAAAGGCTCATCCTTACTCCGCGGGTTGACTGCACATCCTGGTTTCCTTATTTCATCCCCCTCGCACCTCCACCAGTCCCCCAGTCGACGCTCTCCTCTTCCCCCTTAATACCCCTCGTCCTCCTATACTTCCCCCCCCCCCCCCCCCCCCCCCACCCCCCCCCCCCCCCCCCCCCGCCCATTCTCATCCTCATCATCCTCCACGCCGTCCTCCTCATCATCATGCCCCTCTATCCTCCTCGCCACCGCCCTTATCAGTGCTTCTGGTGGCCGCGGTGCGCCCTGGTGCTGACTGCGGCGAGGGTCGGAAGGCCGAGCGACGCGCGCACGCCAAACGCGTGCACTCGCAAGATGCAGCGAAGTTGCCGACGGTAGCAACAGCCAGGCCCAGGCCACCCGCCCATGATCACAACCAAGGCTCACTCGTTCGATCCCATTGGAAACCACCGAAACCCATGACGTCATCATCATCGGGCGCTGGGCCTTGGCCAGTGCTGCAGTCTGAATTCAAAAGTCTTGCAGTACTGGGCGAAAGTATTCGCCCGCCAGCAGAATCAAATGAACGTCATCAATGTGATCTGGTGAGACGAGATGCATGGGCCCATTGGCAATCCACAAATTCGGGTCGGACGCGTGCTGACTGCAACAGTCCGCGACAATCCAGCATTCTGGAACGTGCGGGTTGTCAGAAAACCTGAAATCCACAAACCCCGCAGCCCTGACATACCGACGGCTGCCGCCTGCGATGATCGACATCACGTCGCCTCGCCGCAGGGTGCCGCGCTCCCACCGCATCGACCTGGACACGGATGCCGAGGATGGGCGAGGCGACCCGCCGAAGATCCAAAACCTCGGGCGCGGGCTTCGAGACCCCACTCAGGCCTCTGGGAAAACACGGCGACTTCGAT